GTGGCAACTTCCAGAAGACCCTGCAAGGGTCTGTCCAGCTGCAGAGGAAGGCTTCCCCACCCAGGGCTGCAGATGAAGACAGCTGCTGAGGGCACCATCGTACTCCCTAGATGGCCTGGCCCTCAGCCAAAGGTTAGCCAGGAGCCTTTTCTGGGCCCACCTGCCTAGGCCTGGGTGTGCTGTGTTCACCCCAGGTGCTCGGGCCAGAGACACCAGTCAGCAGAATAGGGGCCTGAGGCTTTCTGACAGCAGCCGGCCTGCCTCAGCTACTTTTTAAAGAGACCTGCATCAGACACAAGGGGGCAGCTCCCCAAGTATCTGGTGCCATCAAAGCCTGAGGGGCAGGTGGGGGCAGACAGAAGGGGGCAGATACAGGCTGGCATCCTGCCTTCAAACCACCCGCCCATGGAGTGGCAGGCCCATTTTAGATCCAGGCTCACTGTGCATACTCATGTGTGACTCACATCACCTTTCAGGAGGCCTAGAGCTGCCTGGCAGGGACACAGGCCTGCCTGTGACCCTAAAGGGGTCTTCCACCAGCTGTGCTACAGAAAAGAGCCAGCTCAGGAGTGAGCAGAGCCTGAGTCTTCTCCGGGGCCCACACTGTGCAAGGTTATGGCAGTCCTCCTTGAGAAGGGGATCGGGGATCTCCAATTCAAAACCCCCCTCTGATCACATTTTCTTGAGAGTTTGGGCTTTTCCAATGTTATTAATACATAAACACCACAGCCTGGATCTCTGAGGGACAACTGGAGATGGGGTGGGTTGCAATGACCCCAAGTTTACAAATGAGGAAGACCCAAGAGAATAAAGGTCTGTTCTGGCCTCCTGGTCAGGATGGGCTCCCCAGAAAAGGATAAGTGGACAGTGTGGAGCCAGGGGGATTGTGGGAAAGCTGGCAAAAGGACTGCCCAGAATACATTCCAGACGCGTCCCGCGGGTTTCCTTTTCTCATACAGCAGAGAAAAGGCAATCAAGGCATCCACCATTTTCCAGAAACCACGGGAAAGGATCAGAGTAGACATTTGTTTAAAGGGGTTACTCTGGTGATAATATGACATCATGGAGAAGAAAACAGGCCCCAAAATGTTCCAACCACAGAGCAATTCAGTCCATTTTTAAGACCCTTCCTCCTCCCTGCACGTGGCAGGCACTCAGTATGCAATCTGGTATCTCAAGCAATGCATTTTAAAAGCAGAGACCCTCAAGACTGGCCAGCCAACCACTTATTTTTGTTGCTAATAAAACTAACAAAATTTTCAATTTCTGACTATTTAAGTAGTCAACACATGTAAAAAGGTATTTAGTAGAAAAAGCAATGCTCACCCCAGGCTCTGGCTTCCTGGGCCTTTTCTAGAGGCAACCACTGTTACTTGGGTTTCTGTAGCTTTCCATGCACAGAGCAGAGGCATCATACCATGATTCGCACAGGAGGGAGCAACATGTATCCCACTTTGTATCAAGTTGTATCCACTTAAAATATATCTTGGAGAGCATGCCCAATCAGTGCCTATAGGTCAGTCTCAGTTTTTTTTAAGTGCTTTAAGGATTCCCACTGTGCAGCTGTACCATGATTTATTTGACCTTCTTAATGGGTAGTTAGCTTATTTCCTGTCTTTCTCTAGACAATGCTACAAAGAATACCCTTGGACATTTCCTTTTGCATGTTTGAGTTTATCTGCCAGTGAGTTCCTAGAAATCAGTCAGGACTATGCTTTGACAGATATTGCCCAGCTACCTTCTATAAAGAGAGCTGTTACAACTTAGACCCCATCAGTAGGGCGTGAGGGCCCCTAAGAAACTGGGGCATCAGGGAGAAATTTAAATTCCTGCCTGTCTCAACTTCCCAAGCACTCTTGGGTGTAACTGGAAGACACACAAACTGGCATGGTGTCTCTGTGAAGCAGTACGCACCTTCTAGCAAAATCAAATGTACCCCCAACCAGGGCCAGAGCCGGGCCAGGCCTCCAGACACTAAGTCCAATGTTCCTCCATGTCACCCCTGAGCTCTCCCCTAGACCACAGAAGTTGTGCCTGAGAACTAAAACGCAGTGAGTTTGTGTATCTTCTGCCTGAGCCAGGGCCCTGCAACAAGGCTAGTGAGCACAGGCTCATCACCAAGAGCATCCAAGAGCATCAGCAGATGGGCCTGGGAACCACCTGTGTTTTTACCACTCAGGCTTTGTGGTCCATGAGCAACACACACACACACACACACACACACAACACACAACACACATCATTTTTAGAAGCAGAAAGAGCATTGAGCTAGGAGCCAGGAGAACCATCTACCCCTCCTATCCTGTCTCCTAGGGAATGAAGACTGATCACATATATTTTCTTAAAAATGTACACAGTCACTATGTCTCAGGCCCTGTACATACTTAATTTCTTTTAGTTCTCACATCTAACCCCATAGGATGGGTATCATGACTCCTGTATTACAGATAAGGATACTGAGGCTTGGGGGGTTAAGTGACTTGCCTACAGTCATATAAGTGGCAAGATCAGGATCTGAACGCTGTCTAGTGCCAAAACTCAGGACTCCACCCTTCCCAGCTCTAATGAAGAACCGGATCCCGTTAAGTCCCAAGCCTACTGCTTCCCAGGGGGCAGCCGGGGTTCCACTCCGTTGTCACCAGAGGGCTTAAGCCCAGGGACTCAGCACACCAAGGGTTAAAGCCAAGAGGCAGTGACTCTCTGGGGCTGCACAAAGGGAAAATGCACTTCCTGCCCCTGTGGGCAGAGATGCTGTTTTTTGCTCAGCAAATTAGGACGTTTGTTTAATTAAGACGACACACAGATTTTGTTATTCTAAATATTTTTGGAACACGATGCTTTGGAGGAAGCTGTCAAGGCCTGGATTTTTGTTTTTTCTTTTTTTCCTTTGCCTGGGATTTCTCTCCGCTGCGCCCCCCCCCCCGGCCCCCCCAAGAGAAGGGTAGGGCCAGGCTCAGAGGAAAACAACAGCCAACCCCTCCTCTCCTTTTGAAATAAAGATGTCAAGCTGGTAAGGGCTGTCTTAAGTACTTGATGGAAGGATTAGCTAGAAGAGGAAGTGAAGAAAGCACAGTTAGCCTGGCTTCTAGCAATACCCTCCACCAGGCGACACAACAATGCAGCATTTTTTGAGTGCGCTTTTCTCCTTTTAAAAAGCTAACAGATCCGTGTTTTGTTTTTTTCTGGAGCAAGAACGAGCAAGAGAGAGGCAGGCTGTGATTAACATGCGTCCTTCATCCAGTGAGAGGGAAGTTGTCCCATCTCCAACCCCTTAGGTTAAAAGTTTAAAAATAAAAAATAAAAGTCAGAAACCCTGCCCCTCTCTTTTTCTCTACCCTCTCCTGCCCTTCAGACCAGGAGCCCCACAGAACGCATCTCTGGGGGTTGCCCTTCCCCAAACGCTGCCTGCCAATCCGAGCACCTGGATCTGCCATGGCACTGCCGGGACTTGCTGAATCTGAAGAACAGAGCTTTTTTGATGTCACCCTGCAGCCATCTGGGGGGCACAGCGGCTCTCAAATTACACTGAGCAATCTCTTGACGTTTTTAATTACACCTCAATTATCGTAAATGAGTCCTCACTTTCCAACACTGAATGCGTGCCTCGGTTTGGCAAACCTGCCATGTCCTCCTTCCTCGAGGCAGCTTCCCTTCTCATCCCAGACAGAAGCGGCCCCTCTCAGAATTCCTCGAGTCCTTTGTCTGAGGCCTGTTTGAGACACTCATCACAGGCAGCTTCTGCATCTCAGTCACTGGGCCTCTATTTCCCCCTGAGGACTGTAAACTCCCCAAGGGCAGAGGCCTCTGGGCCCCCTGTAGGACAGGCTGGCTCCCTTCTCCCAATCCCATGACTCACAGCACCCTTCTAGGGTCTCTATCATCTTCGCCTCACCTTAGAGTCATCTACGGATTTGTCTTGGCTCTTCCCTAAATGCCCTAGGGCACAGGCCAGGTCTTACTCAACTTCACACCCCCCACCACCTGGCAGAGTCTCTGGCACAGAGGAGCCAGTTAAATATTTGCTCAATTACACATCTGTGTACCCTCCCCCCACTCCCAGCAGCCTTGTATATAAATTGACTAATATTAATCAAGTGACTGTCTAAATAGGCCTTAAAGCAGCCTCCCTCCCTACCATAAAGGGAATAAACCACCCGGTGAGGTTACAGTCTCAGACAGCACTCAGAAATGGCCACAGTGTTGCAGGAAGGCGCTAAGGTTCCTCCCATTCAACAGTTACTCAACAGTTACTTTGCAATCCTGTTAAGCCCAGAAAAGGGTGCAGTGAACCCAGAAGCGGCTGGGTCTCTCCACTGCCCAGCGGAGAGAGATCCGCCGGTGCCTAGGACCTGGGACTTCCCAGGAACCTTTTCCCCACACCGGTTGGGTGGGGCCGCAGATAGCAGCCCGGGCGCTCAACCTGCCCCCACCTCAAGACAACCGGCAACCTGGTCCAGGAAGATACTCCGTCTCTGAGACACTTGGGCTCTTGCGGGGGGGGGGGGGGAGGGGGGGAAGCGCAGGGGGGTGGGGGGTGCAGTCCTACCCTGGGCGTGGCCCATGGACAGCAGGAGATCGGGACCCTGCACGGAGACACTTGGGGGGAGGTGGGGGCGGTAAGTAGAAAACCCTGGATCTTGCCCAAACGGGCACGATGCAATAGCCCAGGCCGGATCCTCGAGAAGCAGGGCCCAGCTCTCCCCGCCCCCGCCCTGCTGGGGCGGGCCCGCAGGTGCGCTGGAATCAGGTGCGCGCCGGGGTCGCGGAGATTGGTGCTGGCCTTCCCCGGCCTCCCTCTCCCCGGAAGCAGAGGCCAAAAGTCAAAGGATGCGGATCTGTGAGGAACGGGGAAGTCTTCCCTGCCTCGAGCCGGGACCCCCGCCGGGTCCCTTTCCCAAGCACCCGGCCGCACCTCTCCCGGTCCCCCTCCTCCGCCCAGCCGATCGCACCCGGGCGAATGAGGAAGTCGGGAGCCGAGGGCGGAAATCGAGCCGAGCGCAATGTCTGCTGCAGGACTGTCCGATTCTGACTCAGGAGGACGCCCTGACAGCTGCCAAACGGTCCCCGCTTGCCCGCTACCTCCGTTTCGAAAACGCCCGGAAACTTCCCAAGGAGCCGCCGCCCCGAGCCCCCCACCTGAACCTCGCCCGAGCGGCTGGGTCCAAGGGACAGAGGCTGCCCGGAAGGGGTTAAAAAGTTTGCCCAACTTGGGCACTGGGCGAGGCGAGGGCGGGGCGCGTGCCCCGGAGGCAGGGGGAGGTCGAGGATCCCTTGGTGCCCGGGCGGCGGGGTGCGCCGGCGGGAGGGCGGGTAGGGGGTACGGAGGGTTTCCGGGAAGCGCCCGTCCCCATGCCTTCCTCGGCTCCCCGGTCTCGCTTCCGTCAGCGTCTTCACCGAGCATCCGCGCGGGGGTCCCGGGGCCCCTCCATGAAGGGTGCCCAGCCCGCTCTCCCCCGCCCACGCCTGGTCGCCGGCCGCGCGGAGGCCGAGAACTACTCATCGGTCCTCTCGCCCAGACTCCGTGCGTCCGGTCCCCGCCACCCCCGCTCGCCCGCTCGGGGCGGGACCCGCCGGTGGGGCTCGCTCACCTGAACCTGGATCTGCCCCGGGGAACAGGCGCTGCTTCTCCCGAGAGGGCTTCCTCGAGCGCTCGGGCGACGGCGGGGTGGGGCGAGCGCGCGAGGCGGGAGCTGCAGCAGGTCAGCCTCGATCAGCCTTCAGTGCCCTGCCCAGGAACAGCTAGGATCTGCGCGCCTCACCGCACCCTGCGCGGCTCCTCGCCGCCTTCCCGCCCCGCCCCTCTCAGAGCGCGCCCACTCCGAGCCCGGCGCCGGCTGCGGGGCGGAGCCTGAAGGGACGAGCCCGCCCCTGCGCTGTCTCTCCCACTCCAACCAGCTGCTGGTCATGATGAACAGACAGCTTGACCTGTGGAAAGGCAGTGGGTGGAGCCTATGGGCCCAGAGAGGTGGGAATACGTTCTCCCCATCCGCCCCCATCTCCACCCTCTCCACCTTCCCCCTCTCTTCCTAGGCGGGAGCCCCGCCCCCTAGGGCTGTCGCAACGAACCGCCAGGTTTCAGGAGAAGGATTGACACAAAGAGAATCCAACCGGGAGGAGTAGAGTCTCGGCGGACTCTCCGACAGGGATTTTGGTGCATTGCCTGATTCCGGGCGAGGCCCGGAGGGAGCCGACTGGGAAAGTCCGGGCTGCTGACACTCCGCCCCGCGAGCTGTTTTCCCTGACCCATGTCGTTCTGTTGATACCAGAACAGATATTAAGTACCATATATGGGAAAAGTGCTATTTTACAATGCAGATGGCCTGTGGAGGCGGACCTGGACTCAAGCCCCGGATCCGTTGTGGGCGCCTTGAGTTCCATTTTTGACCCTGTCTTTGGAGTGCGCACGCTGCAGTCTTTCAGCCTCCAGACCTCTGCGCCGGTGGGTTCCTTCAACCTGGAGTGCCCTTCCGAGCCTCTCTTTACCTCCACGTGGTTAACTCGCACACTTCCTTTCAGATATTTGTTGCAAAATGTTTTCTTGGGCTTCTTCAGGCTGGCAAAGCGCACTGTGTGTGTGTGTCTGTGTGTATGTGTGTTACTGCCCACAACAAGAGGATTACAGAATTTTTTTTTTAATTTTTAAAAGATTTTGTTACATTTTTAATCCATCTGGAATTCATTTTAATTTTGGAGTGGGAAAGAAATTGAATATAATTTTTGTAATAGCCAGCTGTCCACACACCATCATCACCTACCAACTCATATATTCTTGGATCTGTTTCTGAGTTGTATCCATTCGTCTTTCTGTGTGTTCCTGTGCCAGTTCCACAATACTTTAAGGATGGTAGCTTTATAATACATTTTATATCTAAGAGGGAAAATTTCTCATTACTCTTTCCTTTTGTAATGTTCTTCCTACTATAACTAAACCAGTCTTCCAAATGAGCTTCAAAAGAAGTATGATCTATAGGCAAGACAAAACTGGAAAAAAAATTTTGCAACTCTGTAAAAAAAAAAAAAAAAAGATTTTGCAACTCTGTGACAAAGAATTATCAACAATATGTGAATATCAACAATATGCGTCCATAAGGTAAACCCCAAATGTTTTAAAAATTGTCCAAAAAGGAACAGTCTATTTAAAAAGAAGAAATAAAAATGGCCAGTAATTATGAAAAAATAAGTCATCTGAATGCAAACAAAACTACATGGAATGCCATTTTTCACCTATGAAGTTTTTTTAAAAAGAATAAAAATGTCCACCATCATCCAGGTTTAGAGATTACAGGTGAGAAAGTAAGTTGATCAATTTTTCTGATAATTAATCATAAGGTAATAATTGGAAAAGCACACTAAGGTGAGTTTAATAGTTCTTCTTTGCAGCATATATAACTTGCATAATTTTTCTAAAACTGGGACTCACCGCAACATCATCTTGCATTCATCTCTTATAGCACTAACACACTAGATTTTTTTAAAATATTTTTTACTTTATTTAATTGGATAATTACAATATTGTGATGGGTTTTGCCATATATCAATATGAATTCATCATAGACATACACGTGTCCCCTCCATCCTGAACCCCGCCCCCACCTCTCTCTCTACTCTGTCCCTCTAGGTTGTTCCAGAGCACTGGCTTTGGGTGCCCTCTTCAAGCTTTGAACTCACACTGGTTATCTGTTTTACATGAGGTAATGTATATGTTTCAATGCTGTTCTCTCAAATCATCCCACCCTCTCCTTCCACCAGTCCAAAAGTCTGTTCTTTACACCTGTGTCTCCTTTGCTCCCTGTAAATAGGAACATCAGTACCATCTTTTTAGATTCCATATACATGTGTTAATATACAGTATTTGTCTTTCTCTTTCTGACTTACTTCACTCTGTATAATAGACTGGGGGTTCATCCACCTCATTAGAACTGACTCAAATGCATTCCTTTTTGTAGCTGAGTAATATTCTGTTGAGCACTGTTACATTAGCTTTTAACTGTCCATATACTTACTGTTTCCTCTGCCTGAGCTAGGAGCTGCCGGAGAGCAGATAGGAAATATGCTGTAAATGTCTCTGTGGACCCAGAACTGACACAAGGCTTGACATAAAATGGTCTTTAGTGGATGCTTGAACAAGACTCAGAGAGCATCCATTTCTTTATCCATAAAATGGGTGTAATCACAGGGCCTTGCCTGCAGGACTGTTGGGGAGAACATAGGAGAAGTGGGCCTGTAAGTGTATTATAAACTGCTAAGCAGTGTGTACTTAACAACAGAGCATTATCGATGATAATCGTACCCATTTTCCTCACCTCAACCTCCTACACCACCTTCTCCAGAAAACTGAGGTCCCTAAGAAGATGGAAGGCCTGTCAGCTGAGCTCTGAATTCTCTCTTCATCTACTAGCCTGGATGCCTTCCTACTTCAGGAAGCCCTCCTGCTTACTGTCCAACCTAACCCTTCCTCTGTCTCCTAGAACCTACACCCTGGTGGTATTTTAGAAAAATATTTTATCTATTTTGTCTGAGTATTAAAATAGTATTATGGAAAAAAAAATAGTGTTATGGTTGGTGTACATGCGTGCTAAGTTGCTTCAGTTGTGTCCAACTCTTTGCGACCCTATGTACAGACTGTAACCTTCCAGGCTCCTCTGTCCATGGGATTTCCCAGACAAGAATACTGGAGTGGATTGCCATTTCCTCCTCCAGGGGATCTTCCCAACCCAGGGATTGAACCCACCTCTCTTACATCTCCTGCAATGACAGGCAGGTTCATTACCACTGGCACCACTCAGGAAGCCAGCCCATGGTTGGTAGTGAAAATACTAAAAAATAAATCAGAAGTATCTACAACCTTACAAACTCACTATAGCAACTATTAACAAATCTTATTTCCTTCAAATCTTTCTACACATACATATTTAAAATAAAATTGACAGATCAACATGTATATGATTTATTACAAAGGTGCCACTGTAAATAAGGGGAAAAGATGGTCTTTTTTTCATTTTATTTATTCTGTTGGGGTTTTTTTGTGGTTTTTTTTTTTTTTTTTTTTTTGGCCACCTTACACAGCATGTGGAATCTTAGTTCTCCAACCAGAAATAGAACCCACACCCTCAGGACTGGGAGCACAGAGTTCCAACCACTGGACCACCAGGGCAGTCCCAAAGATGATCTTTTTAATAAATGGTGCTAGATCAACTGCCTATCTACATGTTGAAACAGATTTTTTTCCTCCTTCTCTTATATCATTGAGAGGAAAAGCTTAGGTCTAAGACCTGAATCTGAGACCTAAATGTAAAAATTAAACAGTGAAACTTCTAGAAGAAAATTCTTCATGACTTTGAAGTAGGCTAAAAAAATTTTAAGACACAAAAAGTATAAATGATAGGAAAAGATTGTTAAATTGAACTTCGTTAAAATAAAGAACTTTCATCCATTAAAAGATACATTTAAGAGAGTGAAAAATCAGACCACAGACTGGGAGAAGATATTTACAATACGTATATAAAAGCAAGGGTGTTATCCAGAATTTATTAAGAACATCTATGTTAAGAAAAAGACAGACAACCCAACTTTTTTTTTTTCTGTTTTAATGGGCAGACTTAAATGAGTACTACATAAGACAGGATAACTAGCCAGGAAGCAAATTGAAAAGGTGCTAACCCTCATTAGTTATCACAAAATGCAAGCTGAAACCACAGTGAGTTAGCACCACTCCAGCTAGAATGGATGAAATTAACATATCATGTGTTGGCGAAGATGGGACTTCCTGAATCTCTCATAAATTGCTGATGGGAATGTAAGTTTCTATAACCACTTTGGGAAAGTGTTTGGCTGTATTTTCTAAAATTGAATATACTTGTATAGGGGTTTACCTGGTGACTCAGATGGTAAAGAATCTGCCTGCAATGCAGGAGACCCAGGTTCAATCCCTGGGTTGGGCAGATCCCCCTGCAGAAGGGAATGGCAACCCATTCCAATATTCTTTCCTGGAGAATTCCATGGACAGAGGAACCTTGCAGGCTACACTCTACGGGATCACGAAAAGTCGGACCCGACTGAGCGATGAACACACTATACCTATATAACCTGTGATCCACAATTCCACTCTTAACTACATACCCAACATAAGTGAGTGCTCCCACCTGACAAAGACATGTACAAAAATGTTCATAGCAGCTTAACATGGCCAAGAACCAGGAAGAGAAAAGCCTACCAATAGTACAAAGGATAAACTGAAAATGTTCATACAATGGACTACTATACAGAAATAAAAAGGAACAAATCAGTATTATGTGTGAAAAAACACAGTGACTTGGATATCCATGAACTGAGTGGATGAACAGAACTGTGGTATGTTCCTACAACGGCATGTTACTCAGCAACAAAAAGGAATGACACATTAACCCATGCTACAACATAGATAAACCTTAACAACATCATGCTAAGCAAAAGGAGCCAGTCACAAAAGACCACATAGTGTACAATTTAATGTGTATGAAATGTCTAGAATAGGCAAATCTTTAGAGATAGGAGATAGATTAGTGGTTGCCACAGGTTGGGGAAAGGAAACAGTAGAAATTTACTGCTAATGGGTACAATGAGGTTTGTGTGGGTTTTTTTTTTTTTTGAGACAATGAAAATATTCTGAAATAAGATAGTGGGGGTGGTTGCACAACTCTCTGATACACTAAACTGAGAAATTAGACAAATTGAGACAGTAGCATGGAAGCATGTATGTCACCATATGTAAAATGGATAGCCAGTGGAAATTTGCTGTATGATGCAGGGAGCTCAGTCAGGCGCTCTGTGACAAACTAGAGATGTGGGATGGGGTGGGAGGTGGGAGGGAGGT